CTGTTTATTTTTTGCCAATAGTGGGTGTGTGTGTTTTACAAACTTTGAGATCTGGAAAGCAATGCCTTAGACTATGGTTTAAATCAGTTCAAGTTTCATGTGGAATGTAGTTATTGTATCATACTTGGCTAAACTCCCTTCTAATAAAAAAATAACATCTTGTATGTTCCCTACCATCCTTGCCTTCAGAATTCCCTTTTGATTCTAAAGGTTACATATTGTGATTTCATTGTAACAGTAAGTAGATTTCTCACGGATTTTTGTAGGCCTACGAGCCAATATCTTTGTTACAGTAAAGACCAGTCTAGAAAAAAGATTGTTTAAAAGGATACAAGGCAACAAGATACTATTTACTGTGATGCATACTCTCTCAAGTAAGCAATAATACTGTACATTTTTGTGAACTTGGTTAAAATGACCCTGTAGTATTTTAATGGGCCAAAATAATTAAAATCAGTCAGCCAGAGGTGTATCACATAAGCTTTTACAGTACCATGGGAGCCCCAAACTTCAGATTCTTGTTATTTCAAATCTCAACCAGTTTCTGTTGTCCATTGCCAGTACCACCCTATTGGCCCATTGTTCTGCCAATTTTATTTACAGGTCAGTACGGGATAGCAGAGCCAAACTTTTGGTTACTGCAATCATTCGGGATTTACTTAGCAAAGGCAGATTTGACGTTCATGGGAATCTGTGCAAAGTGTGAGTACACATGCAGAGACTAGGGATAAGGAAATCTCCCTGGGTTCAGTTCAAGAACCGATTTGTAAATTTTACTCAGAATTTGAAGTTTGTGAACCTGGTGGTGAATCCCATTGTAGTCTATAGGGTGGCAAAATGCAGCATTCAATTCTGGCCATTTTTAGGGCTAATAGGCAAACTATGTTCAAGCAAAGGGTATAGGAAGCATTGGCGGACATGCCAAAATTGTAGAAAGGAAGAAGAAAATTTCTCACCCTACACAGAATTTTTAGCTTTCCCTAACAACTCCAACTCTCACTGACAAATATGGTGTGAGCCCACCCTTTTATAGAAAGGGGACTGGGTTATCCATTCCTTCAAATTATAGTCTTTTGTGACTCAGATGACCAGGACAGGCTGTCTACTGCATTAGGCTTCTTGCACATGGGCACCTGTGCCTGTAAATCTGGCATATTTCCCATGCCTGGAAAACCAAGGTTCTGTGTACAGTCACCCATAGTATGAATGGCTGTGCATGGCTGTACTCAGGTACAGTGCTCATGTAAACATGAGCATAGAATACAAGTGTATGCAACAAATAGAACATTTTCCTCCGTTTTCTTTCCCTCTGGTTTTCTTTTCTTTTTTTTACAATAAATTAATTGAACGCAGAGATCCCAGAGGCCTTTTATGGCTCATGGCCCACAAATGTCCTCAGGACTATTGTACAGTGGTTTTCCTTCTCTCCCCTCTCCTCCTTCCCTTGCCATTTCTCCTCTTTCCTCTCCTCTTTTCCCCACTGTACAGTTGTTCATACAACTTTATTTACTGTTGTTGACATATGCTGTTTTGTCATTACCAGGCTTATTTTTATCTCTGTCCCCTCATGGGCTGGGCTAGTATTTGTATTCTACCGTTGATTGTCATTATCTCTAACAACTATATGATCAAGGTCTGAGACCCTACTAACTTTACTGTTTGCTCATTTGATAATGGGTCATCCTCTGATTGTCACTTGGAGGTGGAATTCCTGTTTTCTGTCATATTGATTTTTTGTGTAATGACATCAGTTTGCCTGTTCTACTTGTGCTTTTGCATTCCTCTAATAAAAACATTGAAATACAAAAAATAGAATATTTAAAATTTTTTTTTTAAACCCATACACAGTATCAATGTTTATGGGAGCACCGACAGATAGTTGAAGACTACTATGCACAGCTATTCATGTCTGTGGTCAGCTGTACACAGCACCTAGGCTATCTGGGTGGCGGGAAAATGCCAGAATTTTTATTTCATGGGCTCACATGCCTGTCTGTAAGAGGCCATATAGGTTGTTTCTTATTTCTGGTTGCAAATATTTCAACTGAAAGTTCAAGATTGTTACCTTTGCAGATCCTGAGGATTCTCTGTTGCATTAGGTTTGCAATGAATCTTCAGGATGCACAAACCTCATCTATAACATAAAATGGAATGTGCAGTGCTATACAGATAAAAACACTATCATAGATATGGCAAAAAAGAAGAAGTCCTATAAACTGAATGGTAAACAGTTCAAGGTAATATATATATGATTTCAATCCAAATGGGTATATTCCAGTGATGCAGTATATATGACTTCAATCCAAATGAGTACCTAGGGTGGTGAAGTCTCTCCCTTTGTTCAGTTCCTGAACATGGAGAAGATGAGAGATGTTCCTGGTCAGCTTGGTGGGAGCTGGCAGTGAATCATGGCTGCCAACAAGTGATATTTTGCCCTCTTAGCAATCCTGTTCCTTATAAGTAGCCATCTGTTCCAGGTTTACGAATTAGCCATAGGCCAATGATTACTTAAAGGATAAGGTCACCTAATTGAAAAATGAATAAATGCATAATATTTTTGCAGAAAAAAAATATGCATTTATTATCCCACTCTGTTTTGTCATAATTTGGTCCACGCCACACCCTAATTTTGGGTTGCCTTTGCCAACGAGTCTTTATATTTAGAATCATTATTATTAATCTTAATTTATTATTATTATTATTATTATTATTATTATTAGATTTTTTATTCCATCAACATATTATCATTTCCGACATTCCTTATCACCCCATCCCTTTTTCCCTTTTCCCTTGCATGTGCCTTCCTCTTCCCCCCGCTTATTTGCATATAACTCTGTATCATAACGATCTGTGTTCCCCAAGATGTACCAAGAGACATTGCCATTATTATGTGAAGAACACACACTAGAACATTATGTCAGCATATTGTTGTTTTATTATGTCAGTCAGTCTCTGTCTCACTCTGGAGATGCTCCGATCCCTATCCACCGATCCAAGCTGCTGACACTTTCCCCCAGATGCCATTCAGAGTTAAATCATCCCGCCCCATCCAGTCTTCTGCCTATAAATGCACAAGAGTCCCCGACGGCCAATCAGGTCTGCAGAAGAAGCAAGTGCTTCGAAACACGTCACCTGACCCTGTTCCTGCCTTGCCATTGGTCGCCCACCGAGGTCCCGACTTCCTTGCGGTCCATACTGGTTTCGGTGCCATTTTCAAAAACTCTCTGCATTGCTGACTACTGATGGCTGCATCTCTGCTCATCCTGCATGACCAAGTCCCATCTACACATCACTGGCAGACTGAGTGCTTACCAGATGCATTCTTTTACAATGCTTTAACACTTCTTACGTTTGTAACCGTTTGTTTTCAATACATTTTTAACCCTCTACACTGAGATAGGCACCCCCTTGTGTCCGAGGACATGTCAGTGGATTACGAGAATGCTCATCAGTGCTCCCACAGCCTATTGAAACTACAATTCTATCTGACCTGGTGGAGGATGGTACTTGTAGTTTATTCATTCATAGGCAGCTGTGTGGGAAGAAGATCCCCACCTGCTGGGATGGGGGTTAGTGGGAGAGGAGGAAGGAGCTGGAACATGCTACATGTTCCACCCTAAATATGGGTAGAAAATGTAACATGTTTCAGTTGTGAACTTATTCTTTAAATATTCTAAATATCTTGTGCTAGCCATTACTTTTTGAAAAAACAGAATTTCCTGGTTATACTATATTACTGTCATTCATATTGAAAAAAAAATCAGAGGTTATTTCATTCTTTGCTACTCTATTGAAAACAAAGAGAAGAGATGTGTAATAGATGGCACCAAAGACGTGACGTGGTGAGACCACTTTTCGCCCGGTAAGAAAGAGCTAGCAGATATAGTGCTTGAATTAAGAGGCTGCCCCTTTTTGAAACAAAAAATCTGCCCTGTTACTTTAGCCTATGCCAGTGCAGAACATTTAACAAACATGGTATATTTGCTTTTCATAAAATTATCCATCTTATACATTTTTGGTAATTTAAACAAGAATGATCCATAAGTACTTTATCACCGAAAAAGAAGACTAAACCAATTGGATGTATTTTATTATGTGCCTTATCTAATCCCACATTGAATCAATTTTCATCCACTTCGAGTGTCAAATCTTGAACTTTTCAGGCAAACCACAAATTCCCCAGAAAACAGACTTTTCAAACTGTTTTCATTTGAGGCAAGCTGTGTTATGTTCATAAGTCTAAACATCCACCGCACAGTACAATAATTGGATTTGGAAAAGATTTCTTTTCGAAGAAACTGTTTCTGTAGAACATGCACAGCACTGATGTAGTTCATGTTAAAAAGTAAAGTATCATTTATCATTTCTATCTAATACACTCCTTTCCTGTTAAAGGAAAACTGTACAGAGAGAACATGAAGACTAAAATTCCTAACCTTATCTTCTACAAATGAGCGTTGCCTGGCTTTCATGATTATGGCATGGCGCAAGCAATCAGTTCTGACTTTGCCTTCACCTGTTGCATGTTTGCTCCACTTCAATGAATCAAAGTGTTTAACACAAAGCCAGATATTAGGATTTTCAGAAGGAGGTTAGCAATGGTAGCCAGCATGCTTCTCATATGCTTTAACCACTTGCCCTCCAGAGGATTTACCCCCCTTCCTGACCAGGCCATTTTTTGAGTTACGGCACTGCGTTACTTTAACTGACAATTGCACGGTCATGCATTTGATCTCCTGTGCGGTTTTTATTTTTTGCACTATAAATAAAGAAGACCAACAATGTTGAGAAAAAAAACAATATTTTTGACTTTTTGCTAATAAACATGTAAGGTAAAAAAATAAAAAAAATCAAATTTCATCATAAATGTAGTTCAAAATGTATTCTGCTACATGTCTTTGCGAAAAAAAAAAAAATTCTGATATGTGTAAATTAATTGGTTTACGTGAAAGTTATAGCGTTTACAAATGGCGGTACATTTTTTTTTTTCACGATCGCGATCAGCGACTTATAGCAGGACTGCGGGACTGTGGCGGGCATTCTGACACTGGGGGGAACTGACTTGGTGTCACTGACATTCCCAGTGACACCAATACAGTGATCAGTGCTAACAAAAAGCACTGACACTGTAGTAATGGCACTGGGCAGGAAAGGGTTAACATGTGGGGCGATCAAAGAGTTAAATGTGTGCTGTTTTACTATGTTGACTGTGAATGTTTTACACTGTAAGCACGCTGCTTTGTATGGATCTGCTATGCAGAGCAAAGCAGTGTGCGGGAGCTGACAGGGGAGAGATCTGTGTTGTTTTATCCCCCATCGGTAATACTCAGTGATACTCAGTGAGGAATCATCAACCAGGACCCGATGATTGGCAGCCGAGGCTGCAAATGGCGGTGCACGCCGCCTACCCTTGCATGCTATAGGGTGGTGCGGAAACGGTTAAAGTATATGGAAACAATCACCTTATAAAACAACCCATTCCATTTAAAATAGAAATGAAGGGCAAAATATTTGTGTATAGATATACAACTGCATAAAGGGTTTAGAGAGCTGGTGGAGGAGAAACAGCTGTATACTGATCTTCCTAGTGAATGGCTGTTTGTGGGTGTGTGGGGGGGCGTGTCAGCAGAAGCGTAATCATTGGAGGAGAGCAAGCTGTGTACTCAGCCCAGCCAGAAAACGGCTCATGATGTGTTCGCATGCCTAGCATGGTCAGTTTTCAATAGGAGAGCAGGGTAACTGGCAGGAACACCAGGGATTTCACACAAAGGAAGCAATACAAAGAGAGCAGGATATTTTTTAATAAAAGTACATTGTACAGCAGGCACATATCAGGAATAGGAAATGTTAGGTTTACATATCTGTACTAACAGTATTGTCTTCCTGAAAGTCACGTTCTCAACTACAGCCCAACTTCATGTAGGTTAAAACTTTTTATTTGGTAAGAAGCCCTGCTACTTCTAAATGGTCATTTGCCCAAAAGCATAATTGGGTGCAGTTTTTCATTATCATGGAGGCAGACCATTTTCCCTGAACACTCACATTAATGTTTTTCATCGGTGCCTTGTCAAATCTTTATACTTTCACAGTTTGTCTATTAGTAGCAGTGTCTGTGTCAATATCTGCTTCCTCCAGTTTTGCACTTTTAATGCTGGATTCATGCTTCCATTGCTGTATTTTAAAAGGTGTTTTTTTTTTTTTGCTAATGTGCAAAATACAGGGTTTATACAAGCAAAGGAAACACTACATGATTTGCAGGCGTGAAAGTGACCTCATGTTTCATGTTGAAAGTGGAAGTGATGTAACATTCTTTTGCTTTCACTGTGTGATGAAACACCAAGCTAATGGGTAGAAAGCCTAACTTTTGGTATTCACTGCATGCGCTGCTAGTAATACACGTGGTCGAGTTTTTGTACAGCTAAGGCTTCCAGAAGGTAGATTCAAATAGCGGTCATTTTTTTTTATTATCTGCTGGTAGCTCAAGTAGCAATTTGTTTCCTTTTTTTAAAATAATTTTGCCTCTAAGTCTAGGTTCACATACATGCAGGTGCGGTTGATGCGTGTTTTTAATGTGTTTTTTTTTTCAGTGTGCCTTTGTTTAATTTTTGATTTGTTTTAATGCTTCTTCAATTTTTTTTTGTAGGCAGAGGAGACTGATTACAAAAATTTTGGTTAATCCAAAATAAACAATCACTCTAGTCTAAATAATACTACAGTATATCCCCTAGATGCAAAAAGTTCCACTTTCTCTCCCAAAAGCTCAAAATAAACAAAGAGAGGAGACTGATTGTTAACCCCTTTACACCAAATTAACACATATATACTGCGACAAAAGGGTGGATTTTAATGCCCACATGCTGCAGATATGCACCGCTGGATGGCCAATATTTATATGCTCAGAGCACACTGATTGCACTGCCCCAGCACAAAGACCAAACTGCCGAAAACAGCTCTCGGTCCCGACTAAAGATTGGTAGCTGGTGGGACCAGCTTCTAATCATGTGTCCACTGTGACACGCAACCACAGTGGTCACTCGACTCTGTATACTTCCTGCCCCTTGAGCACTCAGAACTTTTAAAAGGGACGCCGGGTGGGAAGGCGTTAAACACAAATCGCTTCCAAAAAAACATATACATTCATTTTTGATCTGGCTCCATTGAAGATTTCACGCACCATGCTGCATGTAAAAAAGTCCCTGTGCTTTTTCAAAAAATTCACTACAGGAAGCTGCATAGAATATGAATGGGTCCCATGGGAAATAATGTTAGGGCTCATGTACATGCGGCGTTTGGAAAACTCTCTTCTGAACAATGGAAACTGACTGCTGGAAAACGTAGGTTAAAAAAGTCTGTTTAGCCGCGTTTGCATACCATGTTTATGCGCGTTTGCGTTTAGAAGTATTTTTTAAAGATAACCTCATTAGACCCTCCCAAATGCCCAGAATGCACTGAAGAATATTAAAATTATAACTATTTCAGACATTTTGAGAGAAATAGAGAGAGCAGAAGCAGAGAGATCCGTATGTGTTGAGATGACCTGTCTTTTCTGGTTGTATTCACTATGGATCCCATCATGAGCATAATGCTGCACATTCTACCATTTTTTCCTTCACGCAAAACCTGGAACTGACTGCGCTGGTGTACTAAGTCCATTTGAATACATGGAAAACACTTTGCATGCATTTCTGATGATGAAAAAAGGCTCTGGACAGCATCTGGATATGGAACAGTTTTTAACGCTTCTAAACGCAAACACTTATAAACGCAGTTAACCACGTTTACAAGCATTTGGCGTTTGAAACGCCGGTAAAATCTACTCCTGAACGCAAGTTTGGTATGTTCAAAAAAAGACTGTAAACTCAACTGCCTGTAAATGACTGTAAAGGACGATGTGTACATGGACACATAGGAAAACATTAGGCAGAGTTCAGGGGCTGCTGGAAAAAAAACGCTCAACAGCTCCCGAACGTCGGTTTAGCAGCTGCAGTGTACATGAGCCCCTAAGTGGATTGTGGTGCACTTCTGCAGATCTACAATCACTAAAAACACATAGATGTGAAAAAACAGCAATTGCAAAGAGAAGTTTAGTTCACCAAACTTGCTTATCAATCCTACTGGTCACTAGTCCTTTGCCTTCTGCTTGTAATTTTGTGGGTACAGCTCCCGCATCCTATCTTTAATGGTGTCAAGTCATTTTCTTGGCCAATAAATGAGCAACAAGATATTTACGCAGAAAATTATATCAGTTTGATCAATTTTGCTTGTGTTATCTGTTTTTTAGTTATGCTTGTTATTGTGGCTCTTTCTTCATTGGGTCCATTATGCTGCAACGTTTTGGTTATATTTCTTCACCAATTGAAAAGACAACTGTGTTGTTATAGCTTGATCGGTGTAAGTTCGTCTTGGTAATAGTCTGAATGCCTCAGATTATTTTAAGAAACTATTTTGTTTCTCAGCTTGGGATACTATTTTAAAGTAATAGTAAAATATTGCTGATACATACAAAGTTTGAAATGACTCTGGGTGATTGAATTTTTATTGCCTGTGCTTAGTTTATTGCCTATATTGTAAACAGTATTTGAGAACAGACATTTCCTATTCTATGCATTTTAATAAAGACACTGCAATAAATTTTATTTTATTTTTCCTATTCATATAATGTAATATCTGTCTGCTTTTACATTTTTCACCTTATCTGCTACAATTTCAACATTTCAGAGAAATGATATGCTCTGCCCTAGGATAAAACACTGCTGGATATCATAGACGAGAGTGTGACACATAATGTCATGTTATAGGTATTTGGTACACAAAAATAAGGTGACTCTGTGTTGCCATAAATGTCAGTGAACTAAAGGTAAAGCCGATTAGTAGGCAACACATGAAACCAGGTTATCTGTAGCATTAAAGTGTTACTAAACCCACAACAGTAAAATCAGTCTGTACTGTATATGCAGTAAAGCATGCTTGTTATACTCACTGTGGAACCTAAGGAGTTAATCCTCTGCATTGTGTAAAAATACTTTTTTATCCTGTCTTATCTGATCATCCCCTTCTTACACTGTCCCCAATCCATCTGCTGTTAGTACAGAGCTCGTCACTCTGTACATGCTCAGTTTAGTGTGTATTGCTTTTTTTTATTTGGGAGGGTACATGTGATCAGTATAGGGCCAATCAACACTGTCCAGACAGAGGGTCAGGGGTTATACAGTCTCATAGGACAGTTAGGACATTCTACAAGCTTTAACCAGTGCTCAGCTGGACATTGATAGAAGTCACAAGGCTTCTATATACTGCCGATTAGTGTTGGGCTAATCGACTCGAACTCAAACATGAGCCGGTTGTATGCTCAGCGAATATATGAACAGCAAGGGCGTTTGGCGAGCTGTGTGATTGACTTTGGATCTACTTGGGGGTACATTTTTTAATTTCTGTTTTTAATAAAGGACTTCTCAAAGTCTGTGTACTGTCATTTTTTACAGTACACTTTTTTTGTGAATGAGGTGCGGTACCATGTACCCCATACTCATTCACATGGGGGGGTGGGATCTGTGGGCCCCCTTGTTAATGGGGGCTTCCAGATTCCAATAATACCTCTGCCCACAGACCCCCAAAACCACCAACCATGGTTGTAGGGAAGAGGCCCTTGTGCCCATCAACATGGGGACAAGGTGCTTTGGAGGGCCCAAAGCACCCCTCCATGTTGAGGGCATGTGGCTTAGTATGGTTCAGGAGGGGTGGGGGTGCTCGCTCATCCCCCCCCTTTTTTGCTATCATGCTGGTTTATAATATAATCAGCATATAGCTCTCTGGTGAGTGTATTCATTTCATCTGGTGTCGGATTTGCACATGGGTGTTTGTTTCAAGACTGACATTAAGTTGATATTGGACTATCACTGTTTATGGTGGCTGGACTTATGTTTATATTTATGTATTTTATTTGTTATTTTTACTATTTATCCTTGCATTTTTTGTGAATAATTAGCGCACTCTTTATTTATACACCCTTTTCTGACCTGCCTGGTTGCTTGCTTGGATAAGGGTCTGGTGTGGATTTTGGGGGGATCACCACACCATTTTTAAAAAAATTTGGTCATGGGGGTTACCCTCAAAATCCATACCAGACCCGAAGGGCTTCGTATAGATTGCGAGGGGACCCCATGCCTTTAAAAAAAAATTTTACTTCAAGGCAATGCTGGCAATTCTTTTTTACATTCAGCTGTCAGTGGGGAACCCCGCTGATAGCTGAAACTAAATAATAAATAATGTTTTTAGTAGCTGTGTGGTATCTTACCTCATACTCAGATGCTGTAAGATACTGCTTAGTGAATTGTCCCGTGTTCAAAGTTCTCGAGCGAATTTTCGTTATGTTCAACCGCAAACCGAACAGGAAAGTGTT